AGGTTTGTATGTCTTCCATCTGGCCTGTCCTCTGCTCCATGGTGCTTCACAAAGGTACTGAAGCCAGTGATTGTGCACACGAGGGGTCAGATTAATAATTTACCTAGACGATATCCTTCTCCTGTCTCAATCTCAATCCCAATTAGGTGTTCACTTGTCTTGGACAACCCACTTTCTCCAGACTTTAGTATTCTTGGTGAATTGGGAGAAATCAGTTCTTCAACCCTCCAAATGCATAGAATTTCTGGGATTTCAAGTGGACTCTGTACAACAAAGGTTGTGTCTACCCAAAGACAAAAGGATTTCGATCAAGAAAGAAATCAGACGACTTATGAATCGTATGACCAATTCCCTCAAACAACTTGCGAGGGTCATAGGGCTATTGGCATCGTCCATACAAGCAATCTTCCCGTGCCCGTTACATTATCTTGCCCTACAAATTCTCAAAGCCTCATATCTGCATTCCACTCGTACGAAACCTGTGTTACACTGGACGAAGATTCCAGAGAGGAATTGGCATGGTGGCTAGCCCACATGGAGGCGTGGAACGGATGGGCGATATTTGGGTCTACAGATCTGGTTATAGAGTCAGACGCCAGCTTACACGGCTGGGGCGCGCATTGTGGATCAGTTTCCACCGGTGGCAGATGGTCTAATGAAGAAACGTTGCTACACATCAACTGCCTAGAACTGTTAGCGGCACCCTTTGCCATTCGCAGCATGACCCCCACAGGCATCTCATGCGCTATCCTGATCAAGATGGACAACGTCTCGGCGGTGCATTATATCAACCACCTAGGAGGAACGAAATCGAAAGTTCTGGCACTGATGGCTCAAGATTTTTGGCAAATTGTTGTCTGAAACACAGCATTTCGGTAATAGCGGAATACATCCCAGGACGAGACAATGCACTGGCGGATTGGAATTCTCGATATCTTCGAGACGCAAGGGATTGACATCTCCACCCAATAATCTTCCAATGTCTCTCTCGACTTTGGGGGCCTTTCAACATAGATCTCTTCACGTCTCGACTGAATACCCAACTCCCTTGGTTCTTCAGTTGGAGACCGGACCCAGATGCTCTGGCGACAGATGCATTCTTACAAGACTGGACCAAGGGCAAGAATTACGCTTTTCCACCTTTCAACCTAATCTCTCGGACCCTTGCATGCCTTCGATATTCCAAAGGGACTCTAGTTCTGATAACCCCGATATGGAAGTCACAACCTTGGTTTCCACAGTTATTGGAAATGTCGATAGATTTCCCATGGCTGTTGCCGGACATACCTTACCTCCTGACCAATGCAGAGGGAATGAGTCACGAGTTGATCGACCAGGGTCTACTTCATCTGATGGCATGGCTCCTTTTAGATGTTTCTCAGACGACACTCAGTCTCTTGGCAGAGTCTTGGGCACCAGGTACCAGACTTTCCTATGGGTCGGCTTGGAGGAAGTGGACTGATTGGTAGATCCCATATCAGCTCCTGTGAAAACAATCTTGCAATACCTGACTCTACTCTTTGAAGAAGGAAAAGCCTTTCGGACTATAAATCTGTACAGATCAGCTATATCGGCGAGACATATGGGATTGGATGGTACTCCAATAGGTAAACATGCCCTCATCTGTCGTTTGCTCAAAGGCATCCACTTTGCTCGACCCCTCAGATGTTAATGTGATTTTTCGTTTTCTCTAGTCTTGGCCTTTGAATCACAAACTTTCTCTTAAACAATTATCAGCCAAGCTATTGATGCTGTTTTGTTTACTTTCATGTAAACGGGTTGCTGATGTCATAGCACTGGATTGGCAAGCACGCGCTTTTGTTCCGAACGGAGTATCCTTTAATATTTCACATAGGACGAAATCTGCGACTAGGGAGGTTTTCTACCCGTTGTTTCCAGACAACCCAAATCTGTGCCCAGTGTTATGCCTTAAGGAATACGAGCACCGCACGAGCTCACTCCGTTCAGATCGAACCCATCCATTATTCATCTTGTTCAGAGTACCTCATCTACCAGTATCTATTCCTACTTTAGCTCGTTGGATCAAATGGTTATTATCCGTGGCAGGCATAGACACTTCAATTTTTTCTTCTTTTTTAGCTTGAATACACCTGTGAGAGTTGGTGGTTGAAGCTGTTCCCTGTTGAATTTCCGGTTATGGTTTTGTTTTGGGAATTCGTGTTTGTTGGAATATTTTGGAACTTACAATATGGTCTTTGGGATCTACGCAGAAAGAGGAGAAGTCAAGGAGCACCACACCCATATAGATAATACTGGATGCTGATTGGTGCCACTGTTACCAGGCTGTTATTATGTTTTTTTTTCTATGATTCTCTCATACTTCCTTTTTCTTGCTGCTGGGAGTATAATAAAGAAAGAGAATGCATAATACTCGTCTCCTTGTCATTAATAAAATCATGACTTTACATCATGTTAATAGTAAAATCTGGGAATTATCATACACACACTCTACTACAGATTATATAGGAACTTGGTTTCTAGCATATATGTTTGAAAAGAATAGGCAGATAAAATACCCAAACCAGAGTCTCTCAATAACAGACCAGTAGTCAATGCAGAAGATAGAAATAGGGAGTGATGCCTTAATATATTTCTTGGAAAATATAGTGCATAAAATGATAAAGTAAAATACAAAATTGCACTTACAATTTTTAGAGCTCAGGTAGCTCTATCTGAATATGTTTGGATGGTACTACCCCCGCCTAGGGATATAGGGATATTGGATGCCTTCTTTATCAATGTGCTTCCTTGCGTGGTGCATCCAACCAGGTATAGTAGTGCATTTGAAAAATCCAAACCAACTCAAGGTTTATCAGGCTTAGTAGTAGTAAATATGTATATTGGTGAGTAAAAGTATAAAAAAGTAGTAGTAGTAAATAAAAAAAAAAAAAAAAATATATATATAGTGTTCACTGTTGTTTGGTAAATAGTAATAAAAATATGGAGAGGTATTCACAAGTAAAGAGCAAAAAATGCTCAATCCACAAGGCACAAGTGGTATTTTGTCCACCAAAGGAATATGTGGTTCTAAACTACAACAGAAGGTAAAGTCAAAATGATTTAATAAATTAACTACTTTATTGAAATAATTAATATTGAATAATAAAAGCAGTACAAAGTAATACAAAACACTTATTGCATTTCACCAACAAAAAGGCTTTTTCAAAAATGTCTTTCCCTTCGTGGAGAAAACACCACCTGTGCACTGTGGATTGAGCAAAACCATATTTTGCTCGTTACTTGTGCGTACCTCTCCTTACTTTTATTATTGTTTAGCAAACAACAGTGAGCACTATGTATATTTTTTTATATATATAGTATTACTCACCAACAATATTGAATGCAAAATGGCTATTAAACGGGGTAAACAAGAAAATACACAGAACCCTAACCTCTTCCATCCTCATTAAGCAGCCAAAGATATCCCCTGTTTATCTCAGCTTCTTCTAGTTTTACCTATGCTATGTATGACAGCAAAAGATGCGTGGCATATGTATGCTCCCTCTATACACTACATTACATACATTGGAGTCCTCGGCTGTTGGTTAGAGTGTCTGCATAGTAATACTAGGAGGAAGCAATATCAATGATTTCACATCCTCCTGCGCTGCCACCAATGAAGGAGCTGTGTAGGCTCCTATCTAGTAAAGGGATGAGACACATGACTTAAATGATTTATTTAGGAAGGATAGAAAAAAATAGAACCGTGGAGGGGTATGTTTATATAACAACAATGAGTTAAAGCTTTATATTAAGCAAGTGAAATGTTATGAAGAAAATGTGGAAACTTTATGGGTAGATGTCTGCTTTGGGCAAAAGAAGGGAAATCAGTTATTGGTTGGGATATGTTATCAACA